ACATGTCTACACATTTAGAGGGATTAAGAGTTAAGTTATGCTCAGTAGACCACTGAGCAAGATTAGTAAGGCCAAGTTGGAAGGTGGGGGGTGACAGATGCATCAGGATGGGTAATTCCGACCACAACATAATCCGCATATTTAATAAGCAGGGAGTTTTGGAAAGTAGGCATGGATGAAATGTAAGTGGAAATGAAGAACGGAGACAGAATAGCACCCTGTAATACGCCCTGTGTAGAAAGTAAGGAAGAGGAGGATCGATCAAGGTAAATCAACTGACCTTTCCGAAACTTCTTGTGGTTAATAAAATGGGTAATTCTTTTGTTTGAATAAAATGACCCGAATATCATCATGTATGTTTTCTATCAGATTTCATCAAACCTCACTGTATTTACCATAGTGCCGGGTATAGAATCTGTCATCATGAAATTTGCCTATTTCTATGCGACATCGCACGATTCAGTGTGCTACCGCGTGGCTTATTAATCGGAATTTGATTTTCTCAGTCATTCACAACTGTTTAGAACTTCACGTCTGTTGGGAACGGGATTCCCCCATGTGTTGAAGTGTATTGGAGATTAGCAGGCGATTTCGGTTACCAAACTCCTCAGACCAAATGATGAGCAATAAATTTTCGGGATACAACTATTTCCTGTCTCATGTGGTACCATTTTCCCAATATAGGTTCCGGGGGTTTTAACAGTGATTACGGATAGTGAAAAACACGAAAGTATCAGTAGTTTGATGACATTTTAGTTTATAAACCAGCATCCGATCTAAGGATATTTGTTTAAACAAGTACAAGTTCTTTTTTGCTCTATTCAAAGTACACAAACTCACCTTGGAGACAACTTCACCAATGATGAATCATGGGCCCCTGTGAGTACTCCGGATAGATCTGATTAAGTCGGTGAAACATTGGATTCATGGATACGACGTTGCATTTTTTTCGCATTCTTAAATACCAACTAAATGAATGAATACATACAATGTGTCGCCTTTTGTGTGACCGTTTTTCGAGGTGCCAAAAACACCGGATGATGACTCTTTGTGATGCTTGCCGTCCTACTGAGGATCCCCTTCTTTTTCCTGGTTTAAACAATAAATTTCTTCGTGATTAAGACGTATTTAAACACTTAAAGTGAGAATCAGCAATAGGCATTGAAAGTGCTATTGCAATACTTTCTCTGGCTTATTGGCTGCCTGTCTTGATATGGATCTCGTATGTACTACTGGCACAATAAACCATGTGTATGATTGTCAACTTCTTTTTTGCGTTCATTCGGGGTCCTTTGATCCCACCACCCCATGCATACATCCGAACTTGGACCGATGATGAAGGAGAATCTATCCCAGATTCAACTGTTTTCCAACTAATCTGGTCTTAGTCTTAACACACCGAAGTGCCTAGAGTGCATCTTTTCTGGTCCACATTTCCAATGAATTCTGCTACCCTTAACTGTAACCCTCTGTCTAGAGTGACCTCCGTCAAGTGCGTGGGTGTTCCACGTATTGGCAACAACCTCTGATGGTCCACACACACACACACACACACACACACACACACACACACACACACAGAAACACACATACACATTCAGGGAGACCGAGATAACTCTACTTTCAGCTACGGAAACTCGTGCAGTTCGAAACCTTGCAGTCAGTTTTTTCCTCCTTTTGTTCATCAATGAGTTTTCATTTTTCATTCTATCTCACCCCGCCCCCACTTGTAGAGTTTCTCGGCCCACTAAAACAAGTTCACGCATCGCCGTTTGGTGCTAATAACTTGTGTGTCTTTGAATTTGTTAATGGTCACATCATTTGTGTCATATCAACGTCGTCAATCACATTACAGACTACCCTCTTCATTCATTATGTTTTGAGTTACATTCTTGTCGTTCCCATTCATCCACACATTTATCGATTCTTCACCCAACCTCCCGTATAACCACTTGTTTAAATATACCCCTTTACTTTATCTGGTCCGACACCTAATCAACAACGAACAGGTTGCAAATGAATGACGTCAAAATTCGAATTTGATAGAAAACAACAAATTTATTTGGTGCGACTATCAGCGTGCATTTTTAAATAAAATGTAAGCATACAAGCCTATAGAAAATATGCCAATAGAAATAGAAAATATCCCGTTTTATCGCTTAAACTCTCGTCTGATTGATCCTCGTCTCCTCCTCTGTGAGTGAAAAGCCCCTCGGGAGCACAGTTTAAACCTCAACCAATCTATGAGCTTTTCCACTACTCAATCTGTGTATTATCATCAGCTTGGAACTGAAGACGGTTATCACTCGCTTTCCAAGATGCGGAGCTACACTTTTGAAAAGAATCCCCGTATTTTATTTATTGTCCATCTTCATCGGGATTGATGATTCCGGTCGACTGATGATTTTTTTTTGCTTCTGAAACAGTGTGAGTGACCGTTCACAGATTCATCAAATCTGGCATCTCTGGGGGATTTCACCGCGTGGTAGAAAAGCACCATATCTGAAGAGAAAGGATTCCGCAAGCTAAACAAAGAGGAGTGGAATTTTTGTATCAAACGGATCACGCATCTCATAGCGGAGTTTTGGACACGAAACTGGAACAAAATATATCGGCCATTTTAACAGTAACGCTGATAGTGTTGTTGATGTTCTACTCACGTTGTTCGAGTAGTGTAAGGCGGCCGATTCTTACAATATTCAATAACAAATGGAACATCCTGGAGCAGGTGTGTGGATATATTATTGTAACAAAAGAAGGTGTGGACAAACTGACAAACTGCTTGACCACAGCTTTGAAACCTTTCATGACACAGTGACTGGGTTGGTTCAGATGTTTTTTTCTTTGCATGTCACCCTACTAAACCACTTACTAATTACGTCATTCTTGCAATAAACACGATACTAAAA